GAGGAGGCGCTCGGCGCCTGCGCGAACCGCCAAGCCGCCCGGGCGTCCTCCTCGACTCGCTCGGCCGGCGGCTGTGCGGCCTTCCCGGGCGCGCCGCTGATTGGCCCGCTGAGGGGGCGGGTCCAGCCTCTGTGGGCAGGTTTGCCGCCCGGGACTTGATTTTCATCCGCAGAATTCTCTGCCAGTGACAACCCACACCGAAGCCAAATACATAAAATGGGTACGAAGCGTATTTTTCGGTCTTGATGTATTTTATAACTTGGAATGTGAAACATTTGCAGTAAAACCTGGGAATCTGTTTTGAGCATACTATTTTAAATGGGCTATAATGAATGAAAACAATAGTCTTATGGGGAAGGGCAGAGGGATTTTGTTTTTGTCTTTAACTGCTGATCTCGCAGTCTTATCAGGAAACTCTCCAAGAGAAAAGGGTAAGCTTATGAGAGATGTACACAAGTTATTGGCAACAAATTTTAAAGTGCCTTCAATTTTGGTGTATAATGTAGTACTTGAGTGTGCACGATGCATATTGCAATTCTTTTAAGTTAAAATACACCTGGCGTAAAATGTGTCATCTTACCCATTTTTTAAGTGTATAGTTCATTGTCACTAAATATATTCACATTGTTGTGCAACCACCACCACCATCCTATCTCGGCTTTCTCATCCTGCAAAAGTGAAATTCAGGACCCATTACACAACTCACTTCCTCCCAACCACCACCATTTCACTTTGTATCTCTATGAATCTCACTGCTCTAGGAACCTCACATAAGTGGAAGCAATACCGTGTCTCTGTGACTGGCTTATTTCACTTAGCATAATACCCTTACGGATCATCATGTTGTAACTTGTGTCAAAATCATCTTCCTTTTTTACGGCTGAATACTACTCCAGTCTATTGTTTACCAGTTTGTTTATCCGTTTATTTGTTGATGGACTCTTGGATTGCCTATTTCTTTTGGCTATTTTGAGTAATGCTGCTATAAACATGAGTGTACAAATATCTCTTCGAGCCCCTGCTTTCAATATTTTTCTATATATACCAGAAGTGGGGATGCTGGATTATACGGTAGTTCTATTTTTAATTTTTTTGAGGAACCATCATACTGTTTTCCACAGTGGCTGCACCATTTCACATTCTTCCCATTTGTGTACAAGAGTTCCAACTTCTCCACATCCTTGCCAACACTTTTTTTAAAGTGGCCATCCTAATGGATGTGAGGTGGTGTCTCATGATTTTCATTCGCATTTCCCTAATGATTAGTGATGTCAAGCGTCTTTTCATGTGCTTATTATTAGCCATTTGTCTGTCTTCTATGGAGAAATGTGTATTCAAGTCCTTTGCCCATTTTTTAATCAAGTTGTTTGTTTTGGGGAAGGGGGTTATCATTGAGGCATAGTTCTTTCTTCTCAATATTAACCGTTTATTAGATATATGACTTGCAAATATTTTCTTCCATTTCATGGGTTGCCTTTTCACTCTGTTGATTGTATCCTTTGGCTTATTACAATTAAAAAATAGTTAAACATTTAAAAAATAAAATTTGAATCAGACCTCTGAAGCTTTTGCCAAGGAGTTAACTTCTGTACCACCCTCCCATCCCCACTGTCCTTCCTGGAACCTCCTACTGAAAAGGGTCCAGAGAATGCAGATACTTCAGTTTTCTTACTTTCTCTTTCACATGAACCTCTCGAAATCTATTCACCTCCATGCAGAAGACAGTGTGGAGGCATGGGAAGGACATATGTAACCAGGTATTTTTATTGCAGTAAGATAACTTCTAGTGCTTATTATCTAATGCACTGAAAAATGGATTCCATATCCCACATATAGAAGGATATTAAAGTTTACTCCTTGACAGTGCTGAAGGCAGAATCCAAAATTTTATGAACATTTTCTACCATGAAGTTAAGCTGGTCTGTATCAAGAAATTTTCACTTTTTCTAGTTATAAACTTAACACTAATGACTTGCTATAATATCTAAAATGTGTAAAATTAAGCATGAAAGTAAACTAAAGAGACTGTAACCTATTTTTAGCAGAGTTTCCTTCTGCATGCCTGAGAAGCAGCAAAACTGTGTACCTACTGAATATCCACAAGCTAATTAGATTTCATTTCTTTCTAAGAACACTCAGTTCAACACATTTGTAGTCTAAGTTAGAATTTATACATTTTACCAGGTTTGTATTAATCAACTTTCACAATATGCTTAAGACAGGAAGTTCTCTGGATCTTGAATAAAAGAGGTAGAAGACACAAGGTTTAAAAAATAAATTAGTAGAAGAACTTTAGAAACTTAAGAATTGATTGCTCATCCATCAGACCACACTACCTCCAAGTAAACTGGAGAAAATAACACTCTAAATGGAAAGCCACAGACACTGAGCAACAGGAATAGTTTTAGGTGTCAAGAGGTCTTTATTGAAATAATAGCACAGTTACACTTCTAATACCCTTTCCACTTGTATACAATAGTTTAAAAATGCTTGCTACATACAGTGCACAGACAGTTCAATAATTAGAACCAACTCAACTGCATTTGAAATAAATAAAATAGCCTATTTAATAATTTAAAGTAAAATTACTGTACAATATGAAAATAAAGATACTTAAGTGTTAGGATCTACATTGCCGTAGAAATAAAATCATTATTCTGCATTACATAAAACAGTGCAAGAAAAAAAATCCAAATAAGCTTTTGGAGTGCAAAGTTTTAAATTTCCATTTTTAAGTTATCATGCAGACATAGCATTTCAAGCCATGCTATAGTCTATGGCAAAGTTTTCATTTTTAAAGGAAAAATGCTAGCCAGTAAATTGACTGTACCGCCTAGTGTTGCATCACATCCACTGCTGCTCTGCTCCTACAGTACAGTTTGGAAGGGAGGTATCTTGTTGCATTCAAAAAGTTGAAATTAACAAGTTTCTGAAGCAAACACATTTACCTTTTAAGCCTGAAACAAAATAATGTGACAAAATAGTAATTATATCCCTGGGTCAAGAAAAAAGAAAAGGCCTATACCACATAATGATCTAAGAAGCAGTTTCCTATCTATCTTTAAACTCAAGAATGATCCTCAGTGAAAACAACCATGTAACTTTCAAGAGACATAAAATTCTGACCTCTAGCTGACAAGTGATACGGTATCATGGGATCGTGAGAAAAGCAAAAGTAACTTCTGAACACCTATGTTTAATCTGTGTAGAACTTGGTTGCATTACGTGTAATAATATGCTTAAAGTACAGTTCAATTTCAATGTGTATATAAAACTGTTATTTCGGCAAAGACCAAGGAATGCTTTAATACTAAACCGTAAACACATCGTCCACCTTGACTGGAGTGCACACTGACAACATAAGAGCTCTTCCGCAGACTTTGGCAACAAGACGACACACAGCAGGTCACAGCAGCACGAGCGCACGTGGAAGACCGAAAGCACTGCAGAATAACACGCCCAACAGCTCCTACCAAAGGGGTACAAGGTCAAAGGGGCCTCCTCATGCTAAGCCACTTTCCTGGTCAGTCTATGTTCTTCAAATTTGGAATTGTCACAACTCAGTAGTCTTAAGTCCTCGTGCTTTCATTGCCTCAACTGACACTGGGTGTACTCTATCCACGGTAAGTCCAGAGGGTTACAGTTCTGTCTGCAGAGGACGACAGGAAGGACAGATCTTGGGTGTGCCATCTGCACTGAATCACTTTATCCTTGTGCTCCCCCACCACCATGATGGGAAGCTGTTTAGTGAGGTCTCCTAAATTAAAGAAGAGAAGACATATTGATTTATAATACAAAATAAGTATATATATAGATTTCACAGACTTCCTGTTACTTTAAGACATTACAGTATAAAAATCCTAAACGATATTAATACAATACATTGTATTAATTGAAAGATTTAAAGAGAGATAAATTACTGAATTGTCAGTAGTATTTGGTAACATGCACATAGTGACACAGCTGCCACTCGCTCCTTGAAACTCAAGTTGAGTTCTCCCTGACTTCAGTGTTACTACATCTTGGTTTCCTCCACAGGTTTCCTTCCTCTTCCTTACTTTAAAGTTTGGTAAATCTCAGGAGTCAGCCTTCAGGTTTCCTGTTACCTTTATCCCTCACTTCCTAGGAAATTTCATCTAGTATCATGGTACCATGACCATTAATATACCTATGATTCACATCTATTTCACCTCCAACCTTGACTTCTCACCTGAGCTCCAGGCTAGTATCCAAATAGCTATTCAACATCTCACCTGGTTGCCTGACAGTCATCTTAAACTTAACTTGTTTAAAACAGTCTTGATTTTCTTGCCTAAACCTGTTTCTGCCCCACCTGTCTTGACCCAGTCTCAATGGTACCAACTGGTTGCTCGTGCCAAAAACCTAGGAATCAGCATTGATTCCTTTTTCCCTCACCCCCTAAACTTAATCCAAAAAAATTAAAGTACATCCCAAATTGTCACTTCTTACCACCTCCACCATAGTCCACCCTAGTCCAAGCCACTATCATTTCTCACCTAAATGGTTCCAATAGGCTCCTCACTGATATTTATACTTATAATCCATTCTCCTTATAGGACTAAAATTATCTTTTAAAAAATGTAACTCAGACTGCCCAGCCGGGCATGGCTCAGCAGTTGAGCATCAACCTAGGATCCGGGAGATCAAGGTTTGATTCCCAGTCAGGGCACATGCCCCGGTTGTGAGCTGGATCCCCAGTAGGGGGCGTGCGGGAGGCAGCCGATCAATGACAACTCTCTCATCATTGATGTTTCTCTCTCTAAAATCGATAAAGATATTTTTTAAAAATGTAACTCAGATCATATCACTCCCTGTTTTAAGGCTTCCACAGGATTCCCATTATGTTTTTTAAATGCCTATAAAACCTGCCTTATCTATTCTTCTCTCTCCTTTGGTTCCCCAGCCACACTGGCTTCTTGCAGTGTCATAAACACACCAAATTTGTCCCTGCCTCTGCACCTTTACACTAGATGTGGTCTTCTCTTTGTTCCTGGTGTGGCTGTTCCTTCTCATCATTTAGGTCTCTGTGCAAATGGCACTTCCCTGGAGAGACCTACTCTATCCTACTGAAACTAGCGTTCCCTACTTCCCTAGTCTCTTTCTCCTACCTTGCTAATTTTTTAATAGCACTTGCCAATACCCAAAATTACATCATTTATTTGGGTTACTTTTTACTGATGTCTAAAATGTGAGCTCCATCAAGGAGGAAGCTACCTGCCTGTCTGTCCCTAGTTGGTACACAGATTTGCTTAATACATGTTTAACAATAAAACTATATACTAAAAATATAATTACACAAATTACACACTAAGTTTTTCAAAGTAGAAACAAGGAGTACATAAATACATATTTTAATATCCACCATCATTGAACTGTAATGATTTAGTGTAATAAATGTTGATTATTTTAAATGTTTTTAAAACCATTTAATAAGACTATTCATTCAATTTATTTAATAATTTGCTATAATTCATTTCAATATAATACCAGTAGTTTGCTCAGTAAATACTATAAAAATAAAATTTGAAAATGTTTTATAGTCAATCCCACCAGATTAACAAAAAGGAAAGATCCCAGATAGGAAAGACTGAAAAAAGGAAAGAGGTCCATTTGCATCACCTTGTAGGTCTGTCACCTTTATTTTCATATCGTAGGATCCTGTTAGCAAGTAGTGAGCTCCAGGAGAGAATCGAACAGAGCGAACATCGCTGGAATGAGGGTGGTAACTTTGTACCATCCTTCCTCCTCTTATGTCATACAACATGCAGCTAGAATCTTCTTGCCCTGTGGCTAAGAGACGACCACTGGGATCTACAGCTACAGATGCCACTGCACTGCCTGGAGAGCGGGAGCAAAAAATTAGGGTCAGAGCTGGGAGGAAAATTAGGAGGTCAACAGAGGAACTTTGGGGCATTGACAATTCTATAAAACTGTTGTGTATATAATGGTAGAGAAGTGAAGAAGGAGAGATAAGGTAGAGAAAACGTTAATGTTGCAAGAGAGAAGACGACCAAAAAAACTGAAGTCTCTGAAATGAGAGAAAAAGAACTGACCATAATTTAAACAATGAGCACAGAGTTTAGAGATAAAGATAAGTATATAAAAACTAAGCAAATAAAACAAAATATATAATTGCTAACACCAAGTTCTGAGTTCTAAAATTGCCCTGCTAACAGGATGATTAAGGCATGATACTTAATCTCTCTGGGCCTCGGTTTCCTAAGATGAATATTATTTTTACAAATAAAGTAACAGATGAAAGCATTTTGAAAGAATTTAAAGTAATCCATAAAATACCAAGTATTATTTTACTATTGTTCCTATTAACTTTTTTAACGTATATATTGCAGAGGACAGGAAGTATGCAAGTGCAATTTATAGTTTCTTTCTCATAGAAATTCATATAAATTCCAGAAAAACCCACCAGTTCCATGGAATGTTGTGCCAACAACACGAACACAGCTTGGTACTCGAAGATCCCAGAATCTAACAGTCTTATCTTGGGAACCAGATGCAATCATCCAGCCACTCCAGGTATAAAGTGCTAAAATATGTCCTATGAAAGATCACACGCTCAGTTATTACTGTGGAACAGTGCTTTTCTATAACATATTCAGAGCTAAATGCTCCTTATTATTGGGCATGTGATGGTCTGCTTAATCAAATATACAATGCGGTAGAGGTTTTCCACATACATATATTTTGGCTATAAATATTAAAATTCAGTAAAATGCACAACAACATATGGAATAAACTTAATGCTTTTGGTTATTCAATATTTTAGGACATTATAATTAGTACTGAAAAAATATTTTCATTTGGGACCTGGCTGGGTAGCTCACTCAATTGGTTAGAACATCGTCCCAATGCACCAAGGTTGCGGGTTTGATCCCTGGTCAGGGCACATGCAGGATTCAACCAATGAATGCATAAATAAATGGAGCAACAAGTCGATGTTTCTCTCTCCCTTCCTCTCTCTCTCTTTAAATATATATACATATAATTGTATTTGAAATTATGGCAAATTTTCCACAGAGGAAGAAGCACAAGGCTGTGGGGTTAGATCACCAGCTTTGGAAGAGACAGACCTGGGGTCGTATTTCAGTTCTGCCACATTTAGCTGTAAGATACTGGGGAAGTCATTTGCCTTTTCATGTACAAAATGGGGATAAAACTTCCCACTGTGTAAGGTTGTTGTGAAGGAATTATGTGTATAAGTAAAGGACTTAACACACAGGGAAATGTTAGCTATCATTACTGTGTTATCTAAAGTTCACAATTTAACTTTCTGAAAGAAAAATGTCTTGTCTTGAAGAAATCCATTTTGATGAAATATACCCCATTAATGAAATGCAGGGGGAAAGGGGACAGCGGGAAAGCATGGGTTGAACAAAAGAAAAGTAGCGTCTGATACTGATATCACATACCGGTATGTCCACTCAGAGCATGCAGGCCCTGTCCTCTTTGACAATCGGTTGTGTAAATGTTACAATCCCCTGCGCCAGCACTTATCAAAATAGCTCCACCACTTTCTGGGCCTTCCATAAATGCCAAGTCTCTAATTGTCCCATCATGCATACTAAATTCCAGATCCGGTCCTGAAACAGCAGTAAGAATTAAAACAAAAAGGTGCTGCTCAACTTACTGTGATGTGATCATTTGAGATTGCTAAACTGCCTCAAAGCTGACCAAGAATAATAGCATAGTGGTATGGTTTATATTTGCAAGTAGGGATTGACACTATAACCAATTTCACTTTACTGAGCAAAGAACTTCACGAAATCCAAATATTGGTCTGCCAGTGTGGCTCCGTTGGTTGAGTGTGTCCTGTGCACCAAAAGGTTGTCATTTAGATTCTCTGTCAGGGCACATGCCTGGATTTCATGCTTGATCCCCAGTAGGGAGCATGCAAGAGGCAGCCGATCAATGTTTCACTCTCACATGATGTTTCTCTCTCTCTCTCCCTTCTTCTCTCTCTAAATATCTAAATTTTTAAATATCTCTAAATTTTAAAAATCTTTTAAAAAAAACACCAACCCAACCAATACTGGTTCAGTCATTATCTCTAAAACAGCTATATGGAGAGTTATCTTTCTTGTCTTTTATCCCAAAGAAAATGAAAGAAAAGACAGATACTCTCTAGAAAATGTACATTAATACAATTCTGGTAGCTATTTAAAAGTTATTTTTCTGATACCAATAATTTTCCCACCTATAAGAACTTACTAAAAAAAAGAAAATAATGTCTAACGAATACAACTAAGTAATTAGAATGTAAAAAAAATTCTTAAGGCTGTATTCTTAGATTTTATTAAGGACAATACAAAGATACATGAGAGCTACAACATGGGGAAAAAATAACAATATACTGGTGAGCTACTGCTTCCATCCTTGGGCCCTACCTGTTGCATTACATGTCTCCGCATTGAAGGGCAGCACTTTGACATATTTGTCGTTTGATCCTGTTGCTAATAACTGTCCACAAGGACTCCAGGCCACACAGTAAATGGATCCTTTATGATGTTTATTCCTTTTAAAACGTACCACTGGCTGCTTAGGGATATCATGTGCACTAAAAAAAAAAAAAAGAAAGATATTTCTTGCTTGCTAAAGTTAATGAAGTTCTATATTATGGTTGTTCTTGAGGGGTGGGGAGCAAAAAGAGTATCTGACAACATGTTGACAACATGTTAATAACAATTTTCAAAATCTTAGAAGAAATAAAGCATATTTAAAATCCAAAAGTAAAACTATAAACCATTATTATATTAATCTCATTTCAGAACACATAGAAAACAGGATATGTTTTTTAAAAGTCTTCATTTCACATAGTTTTCATGGACTTTAACTCAGAAACACAAAATAACTTAAAGAAGGGCTAAGAAAGCTTCTAAACTCAAAAAGTTCAGGAAGCATTTACTAAATATATAATATGAGCAACTGCTCGGAGCTGATGTAAGACAAGGAAAGGATTAAAAAATAAAGAAGGCGAGATTCCCATTTAGGTCAGATTCCCATTTTAGTGACACATGTCTTTAGAGACACATGCTTTATGTTCAAATCCCATAACCTGCTGAAACAAGAGAATAATATCAGAGTTAGACGAAGTAAAAATGGAATTTTTGTAGCTCAAATGGTTAACTATCAGCAATTTCATATAGTTGGACCTAGTATTTCTTTGAAGCTAATATTGTAAGAAATTTATTTTCTCAAAGTCTATAACTAGCATTACTTTCTCTTCATCTTATGTAATTTAATTGGAATATAAATATCTTTAAGGTTAAAAATACAAAATACAAAAGCCATGGAAATAAGTAAAAGTAGAGTTAAATAAACAATGGCCTAATCGAAAACATTTTAATCAATGATTCTTATGTATATTTCCTAAGCATTAAAAATAAAAATTAAAAACAATAAAAGGAAAGGAAATAAAAATTAATACTACTGAGTGACAGTCCTGAAAAAGGGACCAATACAGCTAAATTAAAAACTGAAGCAAGAATGGCAGGCAGTACAACCATCTATCCTTACCTGGGGTCAATGACCTCTGGATAGGCACATACTCTCAGAGTTTTTGAATTTGAACCAACAGCATACAGACTACCACCTGGATGAAAAGCCACTGCTCTAACGGCCTGTGTGTCTTCCAGGGTATTAATGCAAACAAACTGCTTTTTTGATTTGTCATCCTATAGAAAGAATGAAAATGAAAGTCATCCTATGAAAAAAACGAATTTGAAAGAATTCATATTTATCCCATTTTCAATTCATTTGAACTATACAGCATTCACTTTATGTTCACTATCTACAATCATATATTCTTTTAAGTGGCAAAACCAAATTATCCCAACTTTTCCATTTTTTGCTACTCAGTGCTAAACTAAGCTCAGAGAGCTTATAGAAATTCAAGTTTTCCTTCACTTACTATGTCTTATGTAATTGAATGAGATATTATTCATATAAATTTATTTGACCAGAAATGCTACATTTTCTATTAATCCATATACAAGAAATGTGACTGTTTGCCAAACAAATAGCATGGGTAGATAAGACAAAAAGGGAGGGAAATAACTTTGTCTATGGGGTTAAAACGTGAACTACAGAAAATAAGATAGAGTGAAGCTGTATACTGGTTAGGGAAGGATGTCTGGTTCCAAAGCAAAAAAACATGCATTGATGAGAAGCCCCAGGGCAATACAAATAATATCTGAATAAATTAACCATAGGGTTCAGAGAGTAGTGCATAGCCTCAGCTCACTACTGGGCCATTAATATGAATATTCTCTAATGTGTTTTCTGAGGCAACCTCTTCAATTAGCCTAGTGAAGGCCCAACTACCTTGAGATAAATCCCAGCATTAACAATAATGATTATTTCTAATAATGGTCCATTCTTTGAATTAAGAATTCCTTAGCAAACTTTCCAAGTACGTATATGTAAAAACAATGAAACCTCATTCCCCAAAGTATTACCTCTTCCTCTCTTGATCTTGACAGATTCCCTGAAGAATCTCCAAGAGGTGGCTTAATGACCACATTTTCTGATGAGCTGTGTGAGCAGAAATTCAAGTAAAGTTTACTCTGAACATCAAAACAGAAATTAATTTGTCCATTCAATCTCTAATATTTATTTTTTTGGCAAATGACCCTCACTGTCCCTAAAGTTACTCTCTCGGGACTCACTGACACCAAGCACAGTCGTAAGGAGGGAGTGAGAAGCCATTCTGGAAAGGAGATTAAGTCAAAGTCCACAAATTTTATTGTGAAATGTCAAGTACCTTGCCCTGCTTAGTTCCAGAATCCTGGTTGTTATGACTAAATCCTACCCCAGGCAGGACCCTGAATTGCTCTTTATGAAAATTATCTGGCCCAAGAGGAATGACTACCAGAAACCGACAATTGAGGGTCCCACCATAAAACAATGTTTCCACTTAATCACTTCTTTGTGAGCTCAACAGGCAGAGAGGTACAAAAGCAAGTTATGCATTTTCAAATGAACCACTCTCAAAGGTTTTTAATGTTAAGAATAGATGGAGAAAATTTTCCTTAACTTTTCCCATTGCATAAAGTAACACTTGTTTACTTATGGCAGCAAAACAAAAAATTCTCCCTAACCAGTGAAAACATAGATATGCAAGAAGTCTTCAATTGCTATAAGGGCAAGAGCTACTAAGACTGTCTTGCAGCAATCATTCCACCATATTGTAAAACACCTTCTTGTGCCCTGGAAGTCTGTGAATCAGATTATTTGTTGAAAGGTACCAATGGAAAAAAAAGAAAAGTCAGAGAAAAGATAAAGCCTAAAACTGTATCATCTCTGAGTAAGATGGCTTACAAAAAAATTGAACTGTCTTGGTGTGATAAGAAAGCAAAAAGAAAAATAGGGGAATACAGACTATTAAGAGATAAGTTAGTAGAAGAGAATAGAAGTAAGTGAAAGTAGATTAGAAAAATTGGGCAGGTAAATGAGCTCCAAAAATTTTTATTCATAAGGCTCCAAAGAGAAGTTTGAATGTCTATATTTCTATTCATTAGTAGGATGTTAATATTTCCAGGTATTACAAAGTAAAGCACTTACATTTGGTTTCCACAAGAAGGGGGTTCCTCAGGAAAAGGTATGTGATTTGTTGATCCTGGATTACGAGGAGTGCTTGTATAAATATTTGAAGCATCATGTGCTAATCTCTGACTAGAATCTTGGGGTGGTGTAGAAAAACTAATGATAGAGGAATTATTAGATCCATTGCCTTTGCTCCCATTACATTGCTGGTTGAGTGTGGATACCTCACTACCAAGGCTATCCATTCCAATATTTAATTCACCAAGCTTTTGAATGGACCTATAAAATAAAAAACATAAGTATATTTAATTATAAATTAAATCACATTCCTAACATATACTGTAGAAGATTAAAAGTTTGAGAAGGTAAATAAATACATGCACATATAATATATAATCTCTGGCAAGTATAGTACTGAAAAATTACCATCTTCAGCTTAAGACATCAAGATACTGAAAGAAGACCCACATTTTTCTACAGTATACCACTATAAAGGGGATAGGCATAATGGACATCACTGACTTTTTAAAAGCACCTTTTATCATAAAAATGCTGTGACTGAAAATATGTAACTCCACATTACTTGAAACACTTAAAAAGCCTTAAAATTTCAAACCCTACAAGGAAAGTAGCACTTATTGCATGTTTCTAATAGCTTTTAAATAACTCCTTATATTTAAAAAATGACTGAAAGACCAACCTATTCAGGAACTGTTCAGTGAGATTCTGCTGCTGGTCAGGACCATCCTCCTGATTCACACCTCCTTCAAGCAGCATCTGCTGGTATATTTGTCGCTGTTGCTCCTTCTGTTCTAAGTGCTGTTGATAGCGTAACCTCTGCCTATAATACTCTTGAAATTGTTCTGTTGAATCTCGAAGCTTAAAAATATTAGAAAAATATATTTGAGCAGACTATGACTGAAAATGTCCCTACTCAACAGTAACTTCTATAAATGCTGAACAAAATATACAAATAGCTATATTTAACAATTAGAAAATACTTAATATATTGTTCTTTGAAAATAGCAAAGCATCCATAAGTCTTAATAGTCAAGTAGATTAGTTAATTTGCTTTTTTTCCACAGCAAGAGACTGACCAAAATTAATAGTCATCCTGTATCCCTGACTAACCCAAGATAAAAATACAAATTATAGTGGTCACAGGGGGGACATGGTTAGGGAATATGAATAAAGACTAGTAAGACTCTACCTACATTACTTGAAAAAAATACTTACTGAGGGATTGCATTAATATATAATAAACACGATAACCTTGTCCAACACACTTAATTTAAGCATGTAAATGGTTTAATAAGTTACTCTAGAGAGAAACAACATTTCCCTCAAAAACAATACTTTAGTTCAAGTTTCAAATGGAATAAATGGGTGTTCAATGTAGCAGTCTCAACACTCCTACTGCACTCCTCTAAAGGAACTGTATAGCACTCAAACTCACAGACTTAAATATTTAGTGAATTCCAATATTGGCAATATTGTATGTTTTCATGTGTTTTCATTTTCATTAGTCTCTGAGGATTTTCTAATTTCCCTTGTGATTTCCTCGTTGACCCACTGGTTAAGAATTATTTCATTTTGAAAAATTTGTGAATTTTCCTTCTGTTACTAATTTCTAGCTTCATTCCATTGTGTTCGGAGAAAATACTTTGCATGATTTCAATCTTTTTAAATTTACTGAGCTTTGTGTTGTGTCCTAACATATGGTTTATCCTGAAGAACACTGCATGTGCACTTAAGAAGAATGTGTATTCTGCTATTGTTGCAGTGTCTTATAGATGTTTGCTGGTCTAAATGGTTTATACTGTTATTTAAGTCCACTATATCCTTACCAATCTTTTGTTTAGGCATTTTATCCATTATTGTAAGTGAGGTATTAAAGTCTCCAAATATTACTGCATAACTGTCTATTTCTCCCTTGAACCCTGTCAGTGTTTGCTTCATATATGCTGGGGTTCTGTTGTTTGGTACAAATATGCATTTGTATTTTTAATAGTAATTTTTCTACTTCACTCTTAATGTTCAGTTGAAAACAAACAAAACAATTTATTCAACTTATTAAAACTACCTACTACTCACCCTTTTTCTAAGTGGCATATAAGATAAATTTTACACCCTATTTCACAATTTCCAAAACACCACAGAAAAATACTCTGGAACTCTAAAAGCTTAAATAAAAGTATTATTCTATACTATAGATGTTGTAATTTCTTATTCATTAAATCTAAGTAGTAAAATACAAAGCATGTATCTTAAAAATACAAGCTATCCAAGTTTAACGTGAGTTCAATCACTTGAGTCCTGAAATATGTAAGATTTATGTCAACTGTGGTATTTTAGATTGTTAATTAATTCAACTGACTCCTCACAGAGACAGCAGCTCTGAGAGGCAACGGCTGTAGTGCTACCTCATTTTTCTCCTGCTTAGCTGGTCCTGGGCTCTGCGCTCCATTTGCAGGCTCTTTTTCTGAAACTGAACTCTGGCCCTGGATTTCACTGTTGATAGGCTGCTGTGTCTCAACAGGTGTATCACTTCTTCCAGAAAGGTGCAAGAAAACAAGGAAGAGGTGGGAATGAAGAAAAATATATTTTAGTTGGAGAAATTTTAATTTAAACCAATTATCATTTAACATTTGATATGCCAGACATATCAAAATATAGGTCTATGGTTCAGGAAAGCAGAGCTGGATAATCATTTTCACAAAGACATCACTAGTTAGGAGCTTTGTACTCATAAGTACCTAAGCATACACACATATACCCAGAGAAGGAAGAAGACAGACCTGGGAAGAGTTTTTAGCTACTAGGCTTTAAACTGGTAATGACCATATGGTAAAATAGAATTTGTAAGTTATTAACTGTACAGAGATAGAATCAAATAACCTTCATAAAGTAACATTTGATTTAATTTTGAAATTTATACAATACTTCCATATGTATTATCTCATTTAACTTTCACAATAACCTGTGAAATAGGTTAGGACTCCCATTTCACAAATGGGGAAACAGATTAAAAAACAAGTGATTTTCCTAAAATTGCACAGCTAGTAAATAAAGCTAGGACTTGAGTCAAGGTCTTCAGACTCCCAATCCAATGCTGGCCCATGCCTAAGGATTGTTTTTTGGGGGGAGGAGCTGGGGATATTTAATTTTGAGACCATGAATAGCAAAAGCTTACATATTTCAACAGATTTTTCTTCCTTTTTGTTTTGAGTTTTCTGTTCAAGTGAAAAGATATCCTCCAAACTACCACACACTCCTTTATAGAACTTCCTTTACTGTTTATCTCCTTGTTCAACATAGTAACTTAATCACTGTATCCTGGGATGTAGCCTGGTGCTCGCACGCAGTAGACACTCAAATGTTTTTAAATGAATACTGACTTCAAACATGTATCACCACAGTAGGAGTCTCTTCATATGGCAACTTTAACATAACTGACCTAACTGAGCTTTTACTTACACCTCAACTGTTTTTTAAAACAAGGTAAAAGTTTTCCTAAGTAAATTTTTATACTTTATCCACAGCACAGCAGCTCTCCTATAGCATGTCATGATGCCCAGTCAGGGCACATACAAGAATCAACCAATGAATGTATAAATAAGGGGAAAAACAAGTCAGTGTTTCCCTCTCTCTCTCTCTCTCTCGCTCAAATCAATTTTAAAAAATTAAAAAGAAAACACATGCACCCACACCCATACACAACAATTAGATTATCTCACACTTGTGGAGATTTCCCAATTTTTGATGAGCAAAATCTTACCGTTCAGGGGATTCTTCATAAATACTGTGACACTCTGTATTCTCAAGCATGAGACTTCTACTGAGGTTTTGTACCCCTGGATAATGGAAGTTAGCAAAGGAGTGTGACATTGGAGAAGTTTTGTTCCCAAGGTCTGAGATTCTCTTATCGTGACTGGTCAGCCCACAAGTGAGGCCATCCAGAGCAGGATTCAGAGAGCGGGTCATATAGGCATCAGCCGATTGAGGCCTCCTCATTGGAGATGATGGATAGGGAGAAAGTTTGCTGATAAGAGGAGTCAAAAGGTCAGCGTATGCAGCTTTTGTGGGTTTCAGGAGTTTGTCAACATGAATATTAAGCATTTTCTGTTCAAAAGCACAAGAGAAGACAGAAGATGGGAGATTCTGAAGCCACGACAATAAACTCAGATCCAAATCGTCACAACCATTGCCACATAAGAGGTCGATGCCAAGAAGTACTTCACTTTCTGTGATTTCTTCTCCAGTTGCTTTACTCTGACAAAATTCTACGCAGCATTCATAAAGTAGGCCCTTCATTACAAGCTGAAACAAACGATTGTTACTTGCTTTAAAACCAGCCTCACTTAGTTTCCTATCAGCAGGGATGAATTCTGCAACCATGACACAAGCCTCTTCAAAACAGTGAACTCGTGCAGTGCTGGGATTCCAGTCCTTAAATTCGGCATGATTGGTCAGACGAGGCAAAGTCAAAAGCAAACAGAGTTTGCTATAATCATCTTTAGAAGGACAGTACTCCTCTAGGGCATGTAAACATTGCACAGCTTCTTGCATGGTAAATTCCAGCTGTAAGAAAAATATAAGTTATTACTATAAAGAGATCTGTGAGATACAAAAACAATGAAAGTGTTTCATTCAAATACAAAGATATTTTACATATTGTCATAAACTATTGAATTGCAAAAGCATAACCTCAAGTGTCATAAAATACTCATATAATTTTTAGGATATTTAACAACCTTCAAGTCAGAAACCAAAATGCTTTTCACTACCAAAATGAAAAGATTAAGAGTTAAGGTATTCCGGTTTCTATATCTTACATATGGGGAAAGTTAGGATGCAGATTTAACCAAAGTAATTCAGTTAGTTAGTGACTAAGATAATAAAAATTCGGACTTTTGACTTATATCCCAGTGTTCTTTCCACTTTTGAACATCATTATCCAGCAAACATTTCTCTATTACATGTGAAGGTCCCCACTGTAATTTCTTTATGGTTTATTTCAATGAACACTTACGGGCACTTAATAAAAGTTTCACTGGTTTTAGATGTAACCATACTAATATTAAAACTTGAAAAGTAATCCTCTAATCAAAAAAATTTAATATCATTGAATTTATATTGTAATAAAGACAACCATCTTATCAAAAAACCGTTTCTGCATCAAAGGAAATACTTCTAGGTCAAGAAAAGAAGCACTGATGTAGAGTCACCAAGTCAAACATCTACTGCTATCCAAAGTACCTTGACCAGGAAAGGGAGCACATTCTCTCCAACCAGCCAGCCATTCATTTATCCTCACTACCTAAATCGCAGAATGAGTTTAGACTCACTACAGATGGAAAGTACTACAACTGCCAAAGAGCAGATCTTACCCCATCCCAGCTCAAAAAAACTTCAAAAACTCATGATATTAATCTTTTGTTTTAGTGAATAAGATACTTATGACTGAAACAAGACTAGGGCGCAAACCTTCAGGAATAAAAATCTTACATGCTGGGGCTCATCTTCTGCAGACATTGCATTGTTAACACATAAAGCTTCTAAAAACTTCTGCTTCAGGATAATATAACGAAACCTGCGAAAAATAAAGTATGAAGCATTAAAATGATTAAAAAGCTGAATTACAGCAATGTCAAAGACTGGAAATGGAACTCAAGTTCCTGAAGGAAAACTAGCCAAGTGTGCCTTGAAGAAGTAATTATTTCTTTAAAAAAAGGACATTTTTAAAAATCAATTTTTCAATGTCTCATAAATCAAATGTACTTGTAAGTTATTATAAGTACCTTTGCTTTCAGGAAATTCTTAAAATATTTTATGAAGCTTATTAGATTGTAGCCATAATAAAAATAATTTCAGCAGCAAGTAATCACAATTTAATACTCAAAGAAAGGATTTCTATTTCCAAAATTAATTCTAAACAAATATCAAGTTTTTATAGAAGATGTCAAATATAACCTAATATTAAATCAAAGTCCTTTATATTTAAAATGTTTTTGTTTTATCAAAATATGACGCCTGGCCAGGTGAGGCTCAGCAGTTGAGCATCAGCCTAGGATCTAGGAGATGGAGGTTTGATTCCCAATCAGGGCACATGCCCTGGTTGCAGGCTCGATCCCCAGCAGGGGGCGTGCGGGAGGCAGCCGATCAATGATTCTCATCATTGATGTTGCTGTCTCTCTCCCTCTCCCTTCCTCTCTCTAAAGTCAAAAAAGACATATAAAAAAATTTTTTTTAATTAAAAAGTACATCTTGAAGGCCGCCAGAAAAAAAAAGAAACATTACATACAATAGAATAAAGATACAAATACAGCTACTGTTTGTCAGAAATAATGGAGCCCAAAAGACAATGGAATAACATCTTTAAAATCTTCATACTTAAATCTTCATGGCTGGGTGGCTCAGTTGGTTGGAGCATCATCCCGTACACCAAGAGGTTGCAGCAGGTTCAATTCCTGGTCACGGCACATACCTAGGTTTTGTCAGTTGGTGTATGTATGGGATGCAGCCAATGTTTCTCTCTCTCTCCCTTCCTCTCTCTCTAAAATCAATAAAAACATATCCTTAGGTGAGGATTAAAAATTAAAAATAAAATAAATAAAATAAAATCTTCATACTATTATGAAGAAACAACTGCTTCAGATATGACCCTTGTGATTTTCTGTATGTAGACATCGTTGACTAAATAGGTTTGTATATCAGATTTTCAACTAATAGAAGTACATGCAACTTGTCCTCTGGAAGTGCTCCACATCAATGGGAATACTAACGGTATTTTATATAATTGTTATTTATTGTTTTCTTTTGCTAAACTTCTACCAATGATAAGACACTAAAAACTTCAAGTGAAATCTTACCTTTTTTTGTCAAATTTTTCCATACATTCTAGAGGCTGAATGAACTGAAGAACTTCATCCCATTGACCATCAAGGATTAGCTGCCTATATAAAGGAAAAACCCATGTCTTTATCAAATTTGGGTTACACTAAAAGTGGAATAGATGACAAGATAGCATTAAAGCTTCAGTCTGAAGTCTGTAATGAGTTGAGCTTTTTACTTGGTTCCTCAACCACTATAATAAAATAATTTTTTCACAATTTATTTGTAACAACATATGCTATACAAGAAGAATTTGTGAATCTGTAACCACTCCTCATTCTTATATATATGTGAATTTTTTCACGTACATAAAAACAATGGACTAGTCTAAAATTCCTTTATTTCCCTATTCATCTTACAGTTTCAAAGCTACTGTCTATTACTTAGGGGTTAGTGTATAGGTATGTTCCTGTCTCAGTGTTTCTCAACTGGGGACAATTTGGCAATGTCTGGAGACATTTTTGGCTGTCACAACTGGGATGCTACTGACATCTGGGTATACTTCAGAGATGCTGCTAAATATCCTACAGTGCACAGGACGCCCTCACCCCAAACACACACACAACAAAAAATTATCTTGCACAAGATATTAATAGTGCAGAGGTTGAGAAATCCTGCTCTAAACTGTGAATCCTACATCTTTGAGGCATTTAGTACTAAAGTTTACACTCTGAGAATGAAAACAGGAAAGTGTAAGATCAGGTTTCATCCTACTTTAGGTTCTATGGGAACGTCTAAGCTACAAGGCATTCCTATTGCTGCTCTCCTTTTATAACAGAAATTTTCCTCCTTTTGGATATTTAGGAAAGTAAACTTTAGAAAGGAAGGGATGGGCAGGAGGATCTACACAGGATTGCCAATTTTGGATTCTGCAAAAAAGGAATATTAATAAAAAGCAATCACACTATATATCATAATCATTTTATAAAGGGATATTTTAATAACTAAAAATGTAGGAAGGAAGCAATTTCAAAGGCCAGCCCTTTAAGAATACATTTAGCTTAATGAAAAACTTACTCTTTTATAATTCCATGCATTTCCCCTCAGACCAGCAAAACTTCACAAACTAACATGTTTTGGGGGGTTATTTGAGCCACTGCTAAACTGAAAGACAGGGCCAAAGAATACTGCCTCAGGACTGCTTCCTGACCATATCGCTGACTAAGCTCACAGGGCCCAACAACACCCATAGCACCAAATACAGGGCAGTGCAGAGTTTAAATAAACTCCCCTACTATAATAAAGCTTTTTTTTTAAAGTTCCTTTTCCATGAATTAGGAACACTTCATTTCTTAAGGATTTCCAAGTCACAAAATGCCACATGTCCAAGAATCTGTACTCCTTGTCAAGGATATTTGGTATTTTTATCTCAAAAGCACAAAATACATTTCTCTCCAGAAATCTGGGTTTTTCTTTTTCTGTCCAATTCAAGTTAGGATATATTTAGCTTTCCATTTTGGCAAACATTAATTCCCCTTTGCTCTGCAATTCCATCTCCAAAAATCTTGTTCTAATCCAAGATACAGAAAAGAGATGCTCAGTAGAGCATTTATTTAAAGAAAACTGAAAACAATTGAATTGTCTAAAAATAAAGGAACCATTAGGAAATTAAGAAAAATTGAAAAATTTTAAAGTGTAAATTTGTAATCACATAGAGAATCCTTATGATGTTAATGGATAAAGCAGAACACTAAACTACAAATGCAAAATAGTTGCTGTTGTTTTTTTAATATGCACAGAAAATTATCAGTAGTGTGTCTGAGTGGTGGGGTAATTTTTCTTTCTTATTTTTCTATATTTTCTATAATGAATATGTTTATATAATGAGTATGTTTTATTTCTATGACTGAGAAATGATATTTCAGAAGTATTTTATCTTTCTGGAGTCTCTGCTTCCTTAATCAAATACTTTTTATGACAATGCCACAACCACAATGTAGCTGTAACTCTTGTTTTTTCAATAGGCCTCTAGATCTTACTACTGAAAACAATCTACAGGAAACATTGTTTTGTAAATGTTCTAACATAAAGACAAACATTTTAAAAAATTATACTTACATAGCCTCTTCATGACTATAAAAATCTACCTGTATTATACATATTATCTTATTGATACATAACATTTCTTTAAAGGAGCTACAAACCTCACAGTACTAATGAATTCATACCTCAGGAAAAGCATATCATCTGAGAACAGGCCATTTATGACTCCACTTTCCTTCTCAAGAGCCAACATACTAATGTGAAGCTTCTTTGAATTCAAGAAGTCTAAAATTAGCTTAATGATTTCAACCTCTTTTACATTCACTGTTTCTTCAGCCGTCATGTTGATAGCCTAAATATTGAACAGAACAAAACAAAAATTAGTCTTATTGTTTTATTTCTAAGTGTTATTAACTGTCTGGAAACTACTGTTTGGAAATACTTAGTACAGATATTTTAAAGTGCAATTTTAATACTTATCAAAACTAAGTCATTCTTTAAAGTGTAATAAAGGTATGACTATAATTTTTTAAGTCCTTATCTTTGAGAGATACACATTGGAATAATTATAGATTAACTGATAAAAAGTCTGTGATTTGCTTGAAAATAATACAAGAAGAGGGGAGTGGGAGGAGATAAAGATGGAACGAGAATAATCATGACTACTGAAGCAGGGTAATGGGTAAGGGAGGGTCACTTGCTATGGTCTGAATGTTTGTGTCTCCCAAAATTCAAATGTTGAAATCCTAACCCCCAAAGTGATGGTTTTTGGAGGCCTGTAGGAGATGATTAGGTCTTGAGGGCAGGGCTCTCATGACTGGGATTAGTGCCCTTATAAAAGAGACCCCAGAAAGTTAGCTCAATCCTTCCATCTTATGAGGATACAATGAGAAGACAGCAGTAAGCAACCAGGAAGACAGCCCTCATCAGAACCTGACCAGGCTAGCTAGCACCCTGATCTTGGACCTCTAGCCTCCCAAACTGTGAGCAATACATTTCTGCTATTTATAAGCCACTAGTCTACAGTATTCTGTCATAGCAGCCCAGATGGACTGGAACAATATTATTCTTTTTACTCTTGCACGTTTAAAATTTACTATAATAAAGAATACTTTAAAAAGTTACTAATAAACAAACCATGTTTGGCTATACTATAAATACCTTGCCCTAGGTATTCATACTCATTCCATAAGCGCTTACGGTCTTTTTTCTGTGACAGGCACTGTCCTGTACTCAGGAGACACTGGCCCTGTCCTTAAGAAGCTTATAGTCTAGCAGCAACATGTAATATGTTGTACCCTGTATTTTAGAGCGAAACAAAACAAGGCTGGTTAAAATGTGCAACTTCAAGTCATATTGGTACTATCAACCTAAACAGCAATGTTATTTCCATTCTCTAAAATCCCTTCTAACTCTTACCTGTAAGTCTGCAGTGACACAACTGAGCACATGGTCATGAATTCATAAAGATACAGAACTAGGAAGAATTCTGGACATCATTATGTCAACATTCCCATTTTACAGATGAGATCACACAAGTTAAATGGTCAAAGTTGTTGCAATTTTCAAATGTTAAGGCTCAGAGCAATACCAACTACCATGTTAAAGGGACTAGCTACAAAGAAACATCAGACATCAGATGAAACAAACTGTATACATACCTTTCTCACAGGACCAACTAATGTTAACCAAGCTCACAGAAACATAAACACATACATGTATGTAGAAGGTTAATTTTTTCAATGTTTACTATTTTGTCAATTTATTTCTTCATAATGAGAAGTGCAAATGTCTAGCAGACTAGAATGCTCACATCAGATGAGTACTTTTTCTCTCCTACATAGAGAAGGTGGTAGGGTAAACAAGGCACAGTGCATAGGAAAATAATTATATAACTCAAATATTTAGTGATATCAAACTAAGCTAATCTCACACCTCCACCTCCACAATAAAGACATGCCTGCCTAAGGAAACAGTCAAATCCCAAATCTTTCTTCCACCAAGCCAGCCGCCCAATTCCTCACGCTTTGGATTTCCCTTTGCTGTCTTCTGAGCTTACCACCCTCCTGTTCATAGGCTTTATCCAAAAGACAGTAAAATGAATGACATTTCCACTCACTAAAGTCTAACCACATTTCAGAAGTGTCTCCCTAAGATTACTCTTAGAGCACAATAATTAGCAATTTTAGCATTCCCCAAATCTTCAGATAATTCTTTCCCAGGAAAGGAATGGCTTTTATTAATTAAACTCTCAGAAAAAATCATATTCCCCCACTCCATCTCTAAGTTCTTAAGGGGCACTTCATTTATATCACCATGTACCAACCATACAACTTAGCGCAGAATTGAGATTACAATTTTCTGATGTTGTCCAATACACACAATGATATTCAACATTTTATACACTTCATATTATTCAACATTCAGTCTAAATATGAAGTAACTCTGGAGTTACTATGAATTTATAGCAATAGTCATATTTTAAATCCACAACTACAAGTTCAATGTTGCCATCATTTCTAGTCAATAAAACCTAAGAGAAGAAATACATTCTTACAAATACATATTTTACATTGAGTTTACATTTACATCCTAGTTAACCTAGAATTCATCAGGGTTTTAAAAAATTAATTTTAACACAAGTCTTAATTCCATAATGTGAAATTCCCCATAGAAATGTATGGTATTTTAATCACCCAACCCAGAATTTTAATTCTTACAAGCTTCACTATTACTGTATACAATATAAAACACAGGCGTATGCTTGATGACTGTATCTCAGAATTATTCTTTTCTAACCACCCTGTGTTATTGAAACATTTTTTTAGAGGCTCCAAAATCCTAGCTTTATAATTTAGAAATTAGATATGCTATATATATATATAGTAGTCCCCCTTTATCCATGGGGGATACATTCATTCCAAGACCACCAGGAGATGCCTGAAACCATGGATAATACTGAACCCTATATACACTGTTTTTTCCTATACATACATACCTTTTCACTTAAAGGAAGCACGTTATGGCTTCTCTGGCATATCCAAATTACCAGCATCACCACTCTTGTGCTCTGGGACCATTATTAAGTAAAATAAGGGTTACCTGAACACAAGCACTGTGATACTGGGACAGTCTGATAACCAGGACAGCTTTTAAGTGACCAACAAGCAAGTAGCACATACAGTGTGGATACGCTGGAAAAGGGATGATTTGTGTCTGGGGAGGATGCAGCGGGACTGTGCAAGATTTCATCATGCTACTTAGAATAGCACACAATTTAACACTTATGAATGATTTATTTCAAAAATTTCCATTTAATATTTTCAGACTGTGGTTGACTGCAGGTAATTGAAACTGTGGATAAGGGGGACTACTGGACATGTTTTTAAAATAACATTTAGTTCATAAGCATTTTTAATCTCATTAAGCTATTAAACATTACAAAGCTAGAATTTTTTCTCATTCAGAGAAGAATTCAATAATAAATGCTTCTTCCCCCTCCTCAGGGAGGCTATAAATCAGTAAGAGTTAACTAGTTTAGGAACTACTAAAATTATCTTTTAAAATGAGATGTATAGTACAAAATGTTAAATTAACTTAAAATATAAAAATCAATGAAGAAATGTCTCTAAAAAAAGTACAGAGTAGATTTTATTTCCAACTGTTCTAAAAGCCATTCAAAAAAATAAGAGCTCTGGCTTTTCAATCTAACTAGTATTTAGGCAAAGTGAGCTCTGACAGCATCTTAGGTAGATTTGCCAGCCCATGGTGTACATGAACAATGACTCACCACTCAGAATTTATGTAGGGCCAAAAATCCAGTGTATTCCACTGAAAATAGAAAACAGACTGGGGGGAAAATCAGCATGTTTCAGTATTTCCATGCTAAATGACACATTTGTCTTTTAAAAATATCATAAAAACATTTTCCTTTAAGAAATAAACCTTTATTTATATCCAGTACCTGGACTAGGTGAGGTAAGGAAACAAGAATTTTCTTTAATAATGAGCACATCTGGAAACCAGCTGGAAGGTGGTTAGTGTTTTAGTACTTAGATGACAATATCCACAGACACTAAATTTCAGATGGAGTCTCTATGTGGACTCATACTGATTCTCATCATAGTGAAACAAGATTAGAAGAATGTATTAAGGGGCCAGAAATAAAATTTATTTTTAGAAATCTAGGATTAAATATAAAATGTTAACAATAAGAAAAAAAGAATAATGGCAATAGAAATATACTGACTTCTATGTACATTTCCACACATAGATATGGAAAAAGTTTCATGAAAAAAATGTCAGTGGTAGCTTTCTAACCAAATATAAATAGATATGATTTAAATATTCCTTTGCAATGAGATTACTTTACTTACTTATAATACACATTGGGAAGGAAGAAAAACACACAAAGCTAAGAATCATTAACGAGTATAAGGTTGCCCTGGCCAGTGTGGCTCAGTTGGTTGGATGTCATCCAGAGCACCAAAAGGTTGCCAGTTCGATTCCTTGTCAGGGCACATGCCTGGGTTGAGGGCTCCATCCCCAGCTGAGGGAGTACAGGAGGCAGCTGACAGATATTTCACTCTTACATTGATGTTTCTCTCTCTCCCTTCCTCGCTCTCTAAAAATCAATACAAAACCTTGGGGGGGAGGGAGTATAAGGTTAAAGAAATTGGGGTACAGCCACTGTAAACTTTATAGTCAAGAAAAAAGTGCTTAAGAAAGGCTCCATTAATCCCCAACTCCATCCCACACAATAAAAACCACTTTCTTTATTTTTCCAACTATTACAGAATGCCCAATACTGAACTATGGTGCTTTACAATTCCAATCTGCAAGCAAAAATGGAGATAAGGAAATTAAATACTGTGAAGCCACTGAAGAGACTATCACACTACAACACAGGACTGCTGCACTGTTTCCTTTAAGAAAAGAAAAATAGCCCGACTGGGCATGGCTCAGCAGTTGAGCGTCCACCTAGGATCCAGGCGATCGGGGTTTGATTCCTGGTTGGAGCACGTGCCCGGGTTGCGGGCTCAATCCCCAATCAGGGGTGTGCAGGAGGCAGCCAATCAATGACTCTCTCATCATTGATGTTTCTATCTCTCTCTCCCTCTCCTTTCCTCTCTCTGAGATCAATAAAGAAATATTTTTAAAGAAAAGAAAAAAGAAAAGAAAAGAGAAAGA